AAAAAAACTAAAATATTGTTGTCACACTACACATTACATACACTTCAACACAAACTTTATATGTATATTTATATGTGTGTGCGTGCGCGTGTGTGTATATATTTATTAGAACTCGTCGAGTAAACTTTTTATATAAAAAAATTAACGGTATTTATTTTATTTTATTTTATTTTATTTATTTAATGTCAAGATATAAACGCAATTCAAACTAACCTACATTTAAATAAGAGAAAAAACTATTAATAATAATAATAATAATGTTTATACTCCCACAGTCACTTACCCGAATAATTTTTTTTTTTTTTTTTTTTTTATGTATGTTGTAAATTCAAGTGTTTTTTGTTTCTTAATAAAATAAATTTAAACTTTTGTAAAGTTTAAAATAAATAAAAAAAATTTAATATCGATATTATATTAACGAACGTACGAAAAAAAAAAAAAAAAAAAATTTTCTTTTTTAAAAAAACGTTAAAAATGGTGGATTCACAACATGGTGTCTAAACCGATACTAAAAATCTTGTTCTGCAAACGAACGACGATTCATTTTAAATGTCTGACTCTAAATTCACTTTCTTAAATAAACTGTCAATTGTTTTTTTTTTTTTTTTGTTAATATTAATAACAAACTTGTTATTTATCTTCTTTTTTTTTTTTGGGTTACATTAATAAAATGAATTTTACCATTAAAATGAAAATTTTAATCTTTTTTTTATTCAAAGTTTTTAAAATTTTGCTACGTTTATTATTATTATTATTATTTTTTGTGAATTTTGTATAAAAAAAAAATTAAATAAAAAATAATAAAAAAAAACTTACCTTCAGGAAAATAGCAAATTGTGAATTGTTATTGAATACATAACACTTGGAATCCTGAAACAAAAAAATAAATAAATTAAAATGAATCATTTGAGTGGAAAGACAAATAAAACAAATTTTTTGCCGCCATTTTGTAAAAATTTCTTTTGTAATAAATTCCATATTATAAATTTACAAGGCAATTCAACCCTTTTTTTATTTTTTATTATTATTATTAATTAAATTGCTAATGTCATACATAATTGGGTAGAGCATTTTTATTTACTTATTAGGAAAAATTTTCAATTCAGTTCTCAAAAAACAAAACAAGCAAAATTATTAAAACACTTTTTA